CCCTCCCCCCCCCATTCCTACTTTTTTGGCCCTCCAGAAGGACTGGCAAGACAGAAGGATTGGCAAGACAAAAGCATACAGATGTACACCCCAGTCCTTCCCTGGTGGTATAGTATTTTATTTTTATTTATTTATTTATTCAATTTTTACCCCGCCCCTCTAGACAACATCTACTCGGGGCAGCTATTAGATTTTAAAGTGGCCCATAGAGGTTTCCATCTCCATCAGGAGCAGCTCTTTTGTATGGCTAATGGTTTAGATTTTAAAGTGGCCCATAGAGCCACTGAATCGATGGGAACTTAGTAAGTCAATACAGGCATCAGTATTGATGAATTGATTCAGCGAGCCTTCTCTGCAAAACCAATTCAAGCAGGTTTCCATCTCCACCAGGAGCAGCTCTTTTGTATGGCTAATGGTCCTTAACTTCTCATTCGAGTTCCTGCTTCAGGGAAGATTGCCGGTGAGTCTGGCCGGATCAGGGGAGCGTGAAGGTGGCCGCCTGGAGGCCATCCACCCCTGCTCATCAAGACATCCGGCCACTTCCACCTGGCCAGCCTTGGCCCAGCCACACCTGTCCCACTCACCTGCTTGACTTTTGCCACATCCCGGATGAAGCTTTCATCGTCCACAAAGTTTAGGAGCTTCTTCAGCTGATCCAGGTCCGAGATGTAATCTTCTCCAATACGCTGGAGGTGGGACAGAAGGAAGTCAGGATGAAATGGGCTATCCGAAAGAACTCGAGGAAAGATCGGGCTTTTTAAAAAGGTACCACACCCGGAACCCCTTGCCCACCCTGCCCCCCCCAGGACAGCTTCTCCTCCCAAGATGCAGGCGGTCCGAGGAATTCGCCCTTCCTTTGCTGCGTGAAGTCTCACCTCCGCAATGACCTCGGCCAGCCCCGGGTTGCAAAGAACGAGCCACCGGCGTGGGGTAATGCCATTGGTTTTGTTCTGGAACTTGTGGGGTTCGAACTCATAAAAGTCTTTAAAGCTGCAGAAGGAGGCAAGGAAGGGGGGGAAGGAGTTGTGGTTAAAAAACAAAACAAAATAGAAAAGGACTCAAAATGGCCGGAGAGACATCGGGAGTAGAAGGAGGACGTGAAACCCAACCTCTACAAATTCAAGACAGCCTCGGATCCTCACCAAGCGGGCCCATCAGAGTTTCCCCCAGAAAATCTCACAGCTCAGAGGGCGGAATGTTATTTTTAGATAGTCTTGGCCTTTACACCTCCAACATCTTAGGTTGAATCCAGTGTCTGCTATTTCCAAACAATGCTAAACTAGACGGTCATCCGCTCGCCGGGCTTATGAAACCCTAACAAGGTAGCACCTTGGAGAGCTGGCAGAGGGGAGAGGGGAAGCCACTGTGGGCCCGAGTACCTACACAGTAGCCTTCAGGATGTCAGAGTGGATGCGGGCCACCCCGTTGACCGCGTGGGAGCCCACGATGCAAAGGTGGGCCATGTTGATTCGCTTCACGCTGCCTTCCTCCACCATGGACATGCGGCGCAGACGGTCAAGGTCTCCGGGGAACTTGGCGTAGACTTTCTGTGAGGACAAAGATAAATCTCTCTCACACACTCAAAAGTCAATAAAGGCCATCACCGTTCATTCACCCAACCCTGTATTGATGCTTTCTTCAAGCACAAAAGGCTGCTCAATGAGGTGGAAACAATGCCTGTCTTACGGAGCAGGATTGGGGCCCCTCAGCTACTTTTTTAAAATATTCATTCATCTCATTAGAGCACAAGCCGGCCAATTAATTCACATTAAAATCCTGTTGCCAAAATCTAAACAGCCCAGAGTGTGATGTTGCTGCGAAAAAGACAAATACTATTTTAGGATGCCTTAACAGAACTATAGTGGCCAAAGCCCACAAAGTATTAGTCCCTTCATATTTGGTACTGGTTAGGCCTCACCTAGAGTACTGTGTCCAATTCTGGGCACTGCACTTTAAGAAGGATGCCAAGAAACTGGAGCTAGTTCAAAGGAGGACCACAAGGAGGATGAAGGGACTGGAAACCAAGCCCTCGGAGGAAAGGCTGAAAGAACTGGGCAGGTTTAGCCTTGAGAAAAGAAGACGGAGGGGAAATAGGAGAGCACTCTTCAAAATACTTGAGGGGTCATCATACAGAAGAGAGGCAGCATCTGGTCTCGATCATCCAGGAGTGCAGGACACATAATAAGGGGTTCAAACTACATGAAGACAGATTTAGGCTATCGGGAAAAACCTCTTAACTGTTAGAGCAGTACGACAATGGAACCCAGGACTTTGGGAGGTGGGGAGCACTGGAAGCATTCAGGAGAGAAAATTGGACCACCTTCTGTCCGATCTGCTTTGATTTGGATTCCTGCCTTATGCAGGGGGTTGGACTAGATGGCCTTATAGCCCGCTTTCAACTCAATTAATCTATGATCCTTTGATTTCAAAAAGACCTAAATTACAAGGTGTAGCTATCTAAAATAATAATAATAATAACAACAAGAACAAGAACAACAACAACAACAACAACAACAATAATAATAATAATAATAGATGATGATGATGATGATGATGATGTGTCCTTGTGATGATTCTAATGTATCAGGACCTTTCTCAGAGATTTCTAGGTATAAAAACGGTCACAAGTATTTTCCTCGCTCTTCCCTCTGGGGGGCGCACTGGTGCCTCCATACAGCTGTTCGAGATCCTTAACTTAATTAAAACATCTCCTAAAACTGCAACAAAACAATGCAAAACAGCAGTGACGACAATCAGGATTTGCATCTTTGTTGTTCCCTTACATTGTTTTTGTTGTTTGTTATATAATAAACCAACCAACTAAAATAAAATAAAATAGACTAATACATATACCAATATACTCATTATAAATGTCGGGTTCCCATTTCTCCAAATGCCAGTCCTTCTGTAGCCAAAACTAATATTTGAAAACATCACTGTTTGGACTACATAAGGAGCTGTAAACAGAAAAAAGCAATATAGTCCCAAAACAGCACCATTTAGACGTTTCAGCAGGCTTTGGGGGAAGCAAAGCCTGCAGGGAACAAAAATATAATTCCTTAAATCAAGGAAAACCTCCACTCATTGACACACACACACACACGGAACCCCATGAGGATGGAATTTCTGAAAGAAGATAATGCTGATTATAGAGGGAGATGCAGAAAACCTGGATTTGTTTTTTTGTTTTCAAAGGGGCACGGGTGAGCGGCTAGCATTTTGAACAGCGATGGTGAACCTATGGCACGGGTGCCCCAACCCTCTCTGTGGGCACACAAGCCATAAGAAATACCCAGCATCCGATCCTGGTGCAGTGGTCCAGTGGAAGGGTGCAAGGGGGGATTGGAGGACCAGTAAGTATTTCTCTGCTAAGTATTTCTCTTGGGGGAAAAAAACAAGCATTTAACCCTTGCAATGCAAGGGCAGCTGTTTTTTTCTAAACTAAAACCTCAGTATTCAGGTTTAATTGCAGTGTCGGCACTTTGAAATAAATACCGTATTTTTTTCGTGTATAAGACTATACTTTTGTCTAAAAAATTTAGACTAATAATTGAGGGTCGTCTTATACACAGAAGTAAGCTGAGGCGAGAACAAAAACAAGGGGAGGGGAAAGCAGGGATCAAAGCGATCCTGCAGCGCTTTGATCCCTTTCGCCCTACACTTGCTGAGCCCCACTTAGATTTCTTAGTTTTAGATTAGAAAAGGTGGGGTGTCTTATACATGGGGGCATCTTATACACATAAAAAGTTGGTTTTGTATTGCAGTTTGGCCATTCGGGCTCAAAAGAGGTTTGCCATCATTGCTCAACTGCAACATTATCCCCATCTAAAATTTGCAAGAAATTAAAGGGAAGAGCTCATAGATTTCATTGAGGGACCTTGTCCTTCCCCCATCCCCCCAACCCAAATAATCTGTGCACTGCTTGGGAGCAACCCTGGTCCCATCTTCCCGAACCCCAGGCTGATCCACATGGATCTGGGACAGCCATGCCCCCACCCCTCCACCTCCACCATCTGTACTGGAATGTCGCACGCACATCAAGGAAGCGTTGGTTGATCTCGTAGATGATTTCCAGGTGACGAGGCAGGAGGGTCTCGAAGAGGTGGACAGGCCAGCGCTCCAGCGCTTCAGGCAGCACCGTGTGGTTGGTGTAGGCACAGGTCCGGACGGTGATATCCCACGCCTACGACACAGAAACACAGAAGCTGCTCTAGCGGGCCATGGAGGGTCTTCAGTGGCAGCTGTTCCCCTTGGTTTTGGAAGGGGGCTCACCTGGAAATGCCACTCATTAAACTCAAGATCTTCTGCACTCCATGACAGTAGCAAGCTATCTATTATTTACAGTGGTGCCTCGCTAGACAGTTACTACGCATGACAGTTTTTTAGCTAGCCATTTTTTTGTGATCTCTATAGCGATTCGCAAATAGTTTTTTAGCTAGACATTGACTTTTTCTGATAGCTATAGAGATTCGCAACATGGTGATTCCTATGGGGGAATTTCACTGGACAATGTTTGGTCCCTGCTTCGCAAACCGATTTTCGCTAGACGACAATTTTGACAGCTCCCTCCGCGCTCGCAAAACGGGTGTTTTCGGGACCTAAGCTTCGCAAGACAGCTATTTAAACAGCTGATCGGCGGGTCAGAAAGCGGCTTTCCTATGGCCCTTCTTCGCTAGACAACGACAATTCTTCCCCATTGGAATGCATTAAACAGGTTTCAATGCATTCCAATGGGGAAATGCTTTTTGCTAGATGATGATTTTGCTAAACAGCGATTTCATTGGAATGGATTATCATCGTCTAGTGAGGCACCACTGTATTAAGATCTTTTTTTTAATTGCAACTCCCAGGATCTCTGGGCAACATAACTGAGGATTCTGGGAATTGTAGTAAAAAATAAAAAGTAATATCCGAGTCGTGGTAAATGCTGCACCATAGTTGATCACTGAAATAAATACATGTTTACAGACTTCATATATAAACTTTAAAATAAATAAAAATACGTAAAATCAACTACATCCATAAACCTAAAAGAAACTTATTTTACGCCCACACATATTTCTAGAGTTTCTATTTCTTGCTCTCCTGGGTGAGCAGTAAATAACAAGCATCTGACTTCTTAAAAGTACTCCCCTATCTGCTGGATCAGCATCTCCAGGTTCACTTATCCTCTGCCTGAAAATATTAAATTCAAAACACACGCAGAAATGCCGTTATTTTTCCGTATATAAGATGCTACTTTCTCCTAAAATAAGAGTAAAAAGTGAGGGTCGTCTTATACACGGAAGTAAGCCGAACCTACATGCCACAGCTAGCACGCACAGCCCTCTCATGGGGGACGTGTTATACATGGGGGGCGTCTTATAAACAGAAAAATACAGTATTTCCACAGTGTATTTACCAGAACTAGCCCCTAGAGGGAGTCAGAGACACTATATATAGAGATTTCTCTCCTTCTTCAGTTTTCGGCATCTGTGGGAGGACTCAGAAAGGATTCCCAGTGGATGCTGTGGTCCTCCTGTATAGGATTCCCATTTTGTTCTTTCTCCTATTTCTTCCAGTTACCGATAGCTGGCTACTGTCCCGGCTGTCGTTTGCCTTTTAACTAAAGCTGCCATCCTGATTTGCTTCAGATCACTTTTGCTCCAAATTGAAAGGTAGGGGGAGGTAAGAAATGTTTTTTAAATTGCTGGTTTTGAGCCAAGCGGTCCCTGTTACCCCGCACACACCTTCTACGGACACCTGTTTAAAAACACAGCCTCACCTTGTCCCAATCCAGCTTCTCAATATCCACCAGGATCCGCATGAGTTCTGGGATGGCCAACGAAGGGTGGGTGTCGTTGAGTTGGATCGCAACCTGGGGAAGAGAAGGGGAGAGTGTTCGGAGGGAGGGGGAAAAAACCTCAGCCTGACAGCTCGATCGCTGTGGTCAGTTCTGACTGGCCCTCCCAAGTTTCATGCAGCATCCCCCCCCCTTAGCTCTAGCTGGAAATTCTTGCTGGTCTCCCATTCAAGTATTTTAGCCAAGTCTGACTTCTGCTTAGCAGCCAAAATCAGATTCGACCGGTGGGTTCAAGACGGTTTGGTAGGTGACTGCCATAAATTCCCATTTCACAATTGAGGGAACTGAGGCAGCGAGGATGAGTCAAATTCACAGAGGATCATATCTGCCTGTCACCACAAGCCACAATCAGAGTTTATTGAAAACTGGCTTGTAATGGTATATAGAACCTTCCTCGGCGAGCCATACGTTGTTATTCAGCCACAAAGCATGATCTGAATCCACAGCTTAGTTTTGAACTCTGGCTGGTTTAAACCACAGTTCCTTGTAACATCAAAACCAGAAACCATGGCTAGTTTCCTCTACTGCTTACCACGAAATGGAAAAATCGGCATGAGAGAAAAAAAAAAGTCTGGGTAAGTCAAGCTATTGGTTTGTCGGTCTGCTGTGAGGCCATGTCAAAGCATCAAATACCCAAAACATTAAGTTTCACTCATTACATTTATCAAATTTATGAGATAAAAAAATAAAAGACTCAAGGCGTCGTACAAATATGAAATACAGAAAATTTAAGAATAGGAACAGCAAAGATAACGTATCTGCGATTTAAACCTGTACTAGCCCACCCCTATTGACAACGTGCAGAGGTCATTTACTGCAGGGGTAGAGAGAAACTCTGGCCTTCCGGGTGTCCTGGACTCCAGTTCCCATCGTCCTTAGCCAGATTGGCCGAAAGTAAGGGATTGTGGGAACTCTAGTGCAAGACAACAGGCGAGGCTGACAGGTCCTCCCTCCCCTGATGTGTTACAAAAAATACCAAAGTTTTGAAGCCAGATGGTTTGGCAGATCAGATTACGTCCACGTCAGGCGCGACCGGTACCTTGTCCGGAAAGGCATCGTAAGAGGTGCGGACGGGATCCCGGCTGCCAAACTTGGAGGACTTGAAGCGACGGATGATGTCCTGGAGAGTAGCAGCCACGACAAAGTACTCCTGCTTCAGGCGCAGCTCTTTGCCTTCAAAGAACTGCGGAGAGACCAAGCGCAGAAGGACAGGGTGAGGCAAGAGGGAGAAGCAACCTGGGGGACCCCCCTCCAAGCTCGGAGAGGGGATTCTTCCAAAGCTTTCAATGAAGTCTCCTTCTTTGGTCATCTGAATCCATGAATTTGGGCCCTGCCTTCAGGAACAGGAGAAAACAACCTTGTTCAAATTTTTGAGAGATGGTTCTTCAGAAATGGGTTTCAATGAATTCCAATGGGGAATTGCTTTTCGCATGACGATTTCGCTTAACAGCAATTTCCCCGGAACGGATTGTCGTCGTCATGCGGGGCACCACTGTATTTTGATATTGTTTGTTCTGTGAACTTTCCAAGACCAGAACTCTTTCTCCCAAACTTTTGGCCCGTCTTGCTGGCCATGACCGGCCATCTGGGGCAGGGGCTCCGTGGCCCCACCACGGAACCAGGTCTCCTTCTGCTGTGAGAACACTGGAGGCAGAAGACAAAGCCCGGGAGATATAAAGGTGGGATATAAACAAACTTCATACACTGGTGATGGAACTTGTAGTCTGAGAGTGTGGTTAAGAGAAGCTGCCCTCAAGAACAGGGACCTACGTTTTAACTGGGGGTATCTCTTGGAAGAGACCCTTGTCCAGCAGGCCGAGGCAAAGAGGCAGACCCGAAACCAGCCAAATCAGGGAGCAGGACAGGGGACAGATGATATTTGTCTTCTGTGTGGAAGGGATGGTCCCTCTCGGATTGGCCTTCTCAGCCACACTAGACATTGTTCCAAGTCCTCCATACAGAGCACGTGACCATCGTCTCTCGAGACGGAAGGAGGCCTAAACTAACTCTTGGAAGGAGTTGGGGAAAGCAAGCCAAAGCAATGGAAGAAGGAACCTACGTTATCGTTGGGGTACAGCACGCGAGAAATGTTCTCTGCCAAGTTTCTGTCCAGCACCGCCTGGATGTAGCCACCAACGTTAACTGGGGTAGAAAAGAAAAGAAAAAGTGAGAAAGCAGTGGACAATCGGAATTAATCCCACTGGTAAGGTGCGCAAGAACTCCCTGTAGAATTCAAGGTGGTCCAGAAAGCTGCTGGAGAAGAGCAGAGCTGGCCTTCCTGAAGCCATTCGCCCACACGTGTGTTCGAGGGTTTGGTGCACGGTCCCCTCCAGTGGGCGCCCGCCAGAGGGGTGGGGGTGTCAAACTGTGGGGCGAGGAAACAAACCGGGCCAAACCGGGGGTCCTTCCTCTCCGGAGACAGGGAAGGAGCATCGTTCTGTGGTGCTTGAGGCCCAACCACACCCCTCAGGCGGATGCAAGAGGTTTGAGGATGCCCGGATTTCAGGCCATTACTTTGCAGAGGTCCTGATCCAGGCAGGAGAAGGTGCTTTTTGAATCACCGTGTTTCCAACCTCACCCGCTCCAGCTCCTCCAAGGCCCGACGGGAGTCCAGCTGGATTCCAAAACTTCCTCGTTTCTAATACTTTTAATCTCCAAAGTCATCGCTGTGTGATGGGCCCAATCCAGCCCTTCCACCTGTTGAAACCGTACTTATTCTCACAACCTCTTTTTGGGTCGGGATGAAGAGAGAAAGCCACTAGTACAACAGAAGGCGGATAGTACTCAACCCTGGTAGGGATGCCCTGTGAGATCCAGCAGTGGTCGCCAACCTTGGGCCTCCAGATGTTCTTGGACTTCAACTCCCAGAAGCCTTCACACCACCTCTGCTGGCCAGGATTTCTGGGAGTTGATGTCCAAGAACATCTGGAGGACTCAAGGTTGGGGACCTCTGAGATACAGGATAAAGATCCAGTGTGAGACACACATCCTGGAGAGGCCCCCCGCCGACCACTCTCAGCATGGCCCTTGAGGCCGTGCCATGCAAAGAGCTGAGCCCCATCATCCCACAATAGGAGTACTTCTCCTGATTCAGGTAACCATGGGGCTTTATAGCTTAGTCTCCGTCCTTTGCAACGGGGCAGGGAGGAACGTGAAATTGTCAGCCTCCGAGAGGGAGGAGAAGACTCTGCTCCATGCCACAAACCCACTTTCTTCTGGCCATGTCAGCATGCCACCCCCTTGATCAGATCAGCTGCTATTAGAACAACAGGTTTGTCGGCTTCAGATGCAATGGGTGGTTTCTTCCTTTGCTTACAGCTCCACCACATAGGTTACGTGACCTTCGTGAAATAGCATCCAGGGTTGCTTTCGGTACAACTCCTTTCCCCAGCCGATGCAGAAATCAAGCACTGAGTGCCTGATTTGGTTTTCTTTCCGTCCCTCTTTCCTTTGTGTCAACAATATATGTTTAAATACAGTGGTGCCTCGCTTAACGTTGATTTGGCTTTTCTTTCCCTCCCTCTTTCCTTTGGGTCAAAAACATATGTTTAAATACAGTGGTGCCTTGCTTAACGATTGCCCCGCATTACGATGAATCCGCTTTACAAAGATCTTTTGCGATCACAAAATGATGGTCTAAATTATCGCAAAATGATGATTTAAACGGGGCAATTTCGCTTAGTGATGATCGGTTCCCTGCTTCGGGAACCAATTTTCACTTTACGAGGATCAAAAACAGCTGATCATCGGGTTTTCAAAATGGCCACTGGGTGCTTAAAATGGGTCCCTGCTGTGATTAGGGACGGATTCCTCGCTAAAAGGCATCGAAAATGGCTGCCATATGGAGGATCTTCGCTGGACAGTGAGTTTCTACCCCATTAGCACGCATTGAACCCGTTCAATGCGTTTCAATGGGGTTTTTAATTTCGCTTTACGATGTTTTCGCTTAACGGCAATTTTCCTGAAACGGATTATCGTCATTAAGCGAGGCACCACTGTATATCAGAAATGTCTTCTTGGGACTGCCAGCCAGCAGGAGACGGGGGTGGAATCTGATATTTGGGCTTGCCCAGGGAAGTTTTTTTTGGGGGGTGCATGGAATAGAGCCAAGCCAACATGTGCTCCGGGGTAAGTCTGATGCTCCTCCTGCATCACAAAACATTCCCTGCTTGTCTGCTGGGCCAGATCAGGCATTTCTAGCCGGGCCCCCTTCCCTATTTTCAGTGCGTCTGGCTCTACTTACAGTCCTTCAGGTTGAACTCGTTGGGAGCCCGGGCAGACCACAGCCTCATGGTGTTCACTATGTTGTTGCGATATCCAGGAACAGGGGTGTCGTAAGGGAGGGCGAGGACCATCTGTGAAAGAAAAGGGATGGGGTTTGTTTTGTGTGTGTCAGCACGAACGCAACGGCTCGCCTGGAGGATCAGACCTGCAGAACAACGCCGAGCTACATGTAAACATAACCCTGACCGAATCCTCCGGATCTTCTCTCTTGCCAAGTCTTCCCTTCCCGGACACTCAGCTAAACTGCCTGCTTGCTCCCAAACTCAAGCCTTAACCTTCAGGAAAAGATCTTAAGCATCACTTCCTTGCCTCTACGTTAATTTGATGATTATCTTTTCAGTTGTTTTCAGCTCAATCAAGGCTCCTGTTCTCTCATTATTTATTATCTCCACTGCACTGTCTAGGACTTCCCATCTCTTTACTTGCTTTTCACCTTGTTGTCTATAATCTGTGTAAGCTCCTGTATGCTCTCACACCTCCATCTGTAAGTTTTAATGGCATTTTTTAATTGAATTTTTTTCCCCAACAGCTGCCCGCTTGCAAAAGTCATCTCAAGGGCGACCTGCGGGCTTCGTGGTGCCCATCGGCCCTTGCCAACCTAGTCTGTGGTAAGGAAGGATGGTAAATGTACTTTTTCCTGAGTCTGTGGGCCAAACTATATGTTATGGATAGCATGCCATTACAAGCTAAATTATCTATTAAGTGTTCCAGAGACATTATTCCAGCACTTTCACAACTGAGCGAATGATGGCTGGGCTTAGCTCCCGATGACCAATCACAAAATGAAGCAAACTTATTTGCAAGCTACCAGGAGCGTGAAAAGCTCCTACTGTGACAATCAGACTTTTTTTTTTCATTGTGAAGAATTCCCTCTCCTAATAATGTGCTCTCTAATGTACAGTTTGACCCTCAAGAACCACAGACTCCATCTTGAACAAGCACACGCCCCGCCGGCCAACCCAAGATTTGTAACCAGCTTGAACACAATCTTTGCTCTCCTACACTTTGCAACTTAGCTGTCTTTTGCTATCCCCATGCTTGTCGCAGCTAAACTAGACCCTTTGACTCAGTGAGATTTACCTAAGTGTTGACTTACCATGCAGCAACTGAATCAATGGGTCTACTCTTGTTGAGACTAAGAATAGGATACTGGCTGGTGTGCCCAGTCCTCATTTATTTGCTTTGATGCACCCACAACCGCCATTCAACATAGGGGAGAAGCCCCATAGGGAAAGTTTTCACCTCCCACATCTGCGCAGTCCCTCAGCTGATCCACACCAAATGAATATTAAACAGCACCCATGGACCTTCATGCAAGGACAGAACCATGGACCTATGCGCTGCTATCCTAAAACACACAGAGTGCTTTAGGACAGCAGCTCTTCACCAGCTCTCTTCTCACGTGCAAGAACACGAAAACCTAACATTTTCTCTTTGCCCTGTGAAAGGTGAGACGGCTGCTGTTCCTTTCCGGGAGAGTTTCCCCCTTTTGCACAAATTCGGCAAAATGATTACACCGGATGCGTTGTCTCATGGCTTTGGATAAGAGGCTAATGACTTGTAGCTGCAGCTCACCCCAACATTTAAAGGAGGGGGGAGATGTCCCCCTGCCCTGGTTATGAGCCACATTGTGTGAGCTGGGTTGCTTGTTTTTTGTTTTGAATAAACCATCCAGTCCTTCTCTGTTCGGTGCCCACTTTTGCACAGAGTCTTCACACAGAGAACTTGGCAGGGGGACCCAGATCTTTGTCTCGCTCTCATGCTGGAGGAGAGAAACGTTCTCGTCTTGCTCTCATGCTGGAGGAGAGAAACGTTCTCTTGTCTCACTCTCATGCTGGAGGAGAGAGACATTCTCTTGTCTCGCTCTCATGCTGGAGGAGAGAAATGTTCTCTTGTCTTACTCTCATGCTGGAGGAGAGAAACGTTCTCTTGTCTCGCTCTCATGCTGGAGGAGAGAGACATTCTCTTGTCTTGCTTTCATGCCGGAGGAGAGAGAAATTCTCTTGTCTCGCTCTCATGCTGGAGGAGAGAAATGTTCTCTTGTCTTACTCTCATGCTGGAGGAGAGAAACGTTCTCTTGTCTCGCTCTCTCATGCTGGAGGACAGAAATGTTCTCACAGCCTAAATAGATCCGAAGGTGGAACTTCGCAAATATTCTTCACGTGCCTCACAAAGGCACATCAATGCTGTCTCTCTCTTGCTACCTCACTAACCAGTGAGACTCCCACTTACCCTGGTGTCAACCCACTTCACCCCATCCGGGTCGTGCTGCACATGCCCATAGAAGTGCACAGGGATCATGTACTCGGGGCGTCCTTTCTCCCAGGGGTTGCCATAGCGCAGCCAGTCATCCGCCTCCTCCACCTGCCAGCCCCCGCAGATCTTCTGGTTGAAGATGCCAAACTCATAGCGGATCCCGTAGCCGTAAGCTGCCAGACCCAGAGTCGCCATGGAGTCCAGGAAGCAAGCTGGAATGCGGAGGGAAGACAGGAAGATGTCAGGGAGCGGGAGGACAAAGACCGAAACGCAGGGACAAACAGAGAAGATGGAGGGCAAAAATATATGTTTCAGCCATCTGATGAGAAGAGAAGACTCCATATATGTTTCAGCCATCTCATGAGAAGACTCCTTGGAAAAGACCCTGATGTTGGGAAAGGGTGAAGGCAAGAGGAGAAGGGGACGGGACGGCAGAGGATAAGATGGCTGGACAGGGTCATCAAAGCTACCAGAATGAATTTGACCCAACTCCGGGAGGCCGTGGAAGGCAGGAGGGCCTCGCGTCCATGGGGTCACCAAGAGTCGTACACGACTAAACGACTAAACAAGAACAAATGTGGACTATTGAACTATTTCTGAGCTAGAAAACTGAGCAAAACACCCTGGGCAACTTTGTGATTTAGCACCAGCCGGAAGCTCACGTTCTTTGCGTCCTGATGAAGAGAGAAAACCACTAATGCAATAGAAGTTTGATGGGTGATGGAGCTATAGCAAAACACAGTGGAATAAAAGGAAGCCTACAGATGCCCTCACATGCTGGAAAGCCCCGTGGCCTGCCACCGAGCCACGTGCCACACGAAGAGCTAACCCTCCTTCCATGGCGGAAGGACTATCTCGACTCTGGCAACCCAGGGTCTTCATCGGCTGGCCTCCCCACTTTCCACCTGGCAGGGAGGAACGGGCAAACCATCGTCCTCCAAAGCAAACACCAAGGTCTCGGTCATTAAAGCCACCCAAGGGGAGGGGCCCGCAGAAAAGAGACTCAGAAGGGCCAGGATCGGATACAAAAGCTGTGCGGGCACTGAACGTCGGCTCGCCTACGTTAATGCTATTTCTACCGACCGTCAGGCTTTGCAAACGGGTTTCCCCAGCTCTGCTTGAGGGTGGCAAAAAAACCACAACCCGTCGCTTCTCCGTGTGCAAAGCAGGGGGCAGCAGAGCAAAGCAAAGGCCCCTCGCGGGGAGGCTCACCTGCCAGGCGTCCCAGACCTCCGTTGCCCAACCCGGCGTCTTCCTCGATCTCCTGCAACTCCTCCATATCCAGACCTAACTGTTGGGCGAGAAAAAGCAGAGAGGAAGGGAAAGATGACTTGAGGTAGGGAGGAAGTTAGCTGGAAAAGAACCCCCCCCCCAAAAAAAAGAAACAGCTCCTTCTCCTGGTGACGGCGCCGCTTGCCATTTTCTCTTCCGGACTTAGGGACTCTTTAAATCGTCTTCAGAAACGACCTTTTGGGACGACGGCAAAGAATTCTGCGGCACCTCTAAGGCGGACAAACGCTGCCGGGCGCCAGCACGTGTGGGTTGTGGCCCTGCTTCTTCAAGGTTGTCAAGGTGCGGATTCTAACCGATAAAGCTCTTGAGTAGCTTGGGCCCAACCGATCTCAAGGACTGAGTCTCCCATCATGAGCCTGCTTAGATGCTAAGATCATTAGGGGAGGCCTCTCTCTCGCTCCCACCACCTTCACAGGTACGTTCGGTGGGGACACGGGACAGGGCCTTCTCTGTCGCTGCTCCCAGACTTTGGAACTCCCTCCCACTGGAGACCAGGCCAAAGACCTTTCTCTTCCGGCCAGCTTTTCCTGAGTGACCTAAACGGATGGTTGAGCCTTTTACTGCTTCGAATGTGTATGCAGTGTCGCTTTTCTTTACCATTGCTCATAGTGGCATTTCTTTTCATCCTTTTTAGTATTTGTCTACTTCCTGTTTTTAGCTTTAAATATTCATCTTTTAATGAAATTTGTCGCCTTGGGTCCATTTTAAGGAGCGACATTGTTTTTATATAAAATAAAAGCTCCGAGGTGTAGAGGGAGGGAATTCCCAGAATCTCCCACCACTCTGGCATTCTGGGAACTGCAGTCTGAAAAAAAAAAACTAACTTTCCAAAACTCTATAAGCAAGGATGACTGTGGAGGGGGAGGGTTCCTCCTGGTCATTCCATTGCTGGGGGAGCGGGTCCTCCACCCAAAACCTTCTCCTGAAAGCACCGTTATCCCCTCCATCCTTTTCCTCTTTTACACCCAATCCCTCACTTTATCCCTCCCAACCCTCTCCCCAAAGCCCGGCCCCACACCTGGTAAACAGCTTCGTCGCAGGCATTCTGAAGGGCCAGGTTGACCATTGTGTTTTGTAGAGTTCGCCCCATGTAGAACTCCAAAGAGAGGTAGTAGATGCGCTTAAGGGAAAACAAGAGAAGAGGTCAGTTTGAAAACATTCAGAAAGGAAGAGGAGGTGCATTTTCTTTTGACCCTCTCAAAAACAAAGGTGCTACTTGTCACCTCTTCTTGATTTGCCATTAAGTTCTCAGGGACATTGTCACCTGCATTCTGTAAAAGCTTCCAGCTCATCAAACCTGTCCTTATTGGTGTGCCCGTTGTGCGCACAGCAGGACTTAGCATTCCAACTCAAAAAAAAGAGAGAGATGCCCCAAACAGATAAAATACACTTGTTGAAAAACAGCCTTGACCACTGCTTTGTGTTTGGATGAGAAGTGGGGCAGCAGGATTTAGCATTCCAACTCAAAAAAAAAAGAGAGAGAGAGGTGCCCCAAACAGATAAAATACACTTCTTGAAAAACAGCCTTGACCATTGCTTTGTGTTTGGATGAGAAGTGGTCAACCGATGGGAGAACAAAGGAGTCAGCTTCTGGGATGTCCCCCTGCCTTGTATCATTTTGTGAATGGTCGTGAGCAGATGAGAAGCGGTCAACCGATGGGAAAACAAAGGAGTCAGTTTCTGGGATTTCCCCGTCTTGTATCATTTTGTGAATGGTCGTGAGCACAAGAGGGGATCCTGTAGACCATCTCAACCGCTGACATTGGTGTCCTCAACATTCAGGCTGCCCTCTGCTATGAACAGCTTGGCATCCTTTTTCCTGTTGGCAACGTGGGCACAATACTGTGCAGAAAAATTATGAGATTATGGGACTAGAACAGTATCTGCTGCTACCACACACACCCCATGCCTCCCTGTTTCCTCTGATATAAACATGTGCCACTAAGTTGATCCCCAGTTCTGGTGACTTTCCCCAGGGCTGCCTAGATGTTGAGTATTCAGATGTGGTTCCTCCTTCGGATGACACTCTTGGATTGCAAAGCTTGGCTGAAACTGGCTTTTCTTTTATAAGGCGTAGCGGGGGATTGAACCTCTGGCTCTCCAGGAGGGTGCTCCAATGAACTAAGCTAGTAAGCCAGTGTTCCCTCTGAACTGAGCTGCAGTTTCTCAAAACAGGATCCTGTTGCAAGCTATCCCTGTCGTAATGAAAAGTATTTGAGTAGATAATTCAGAGTCATTAACCTTACAAAAGACTTGCCCTTCACTGGTTGACATGGACTCATAAACCACCACATGTTTTTGGACTATCCTTACTGGGAGGTGTGTTGGCGGGGGGGGACCAGTGGGAGAAGCATTTGCTCTTCCAACCACCGAGAACTGAATTGTGCCAGAAAGAGTGGGGAGAGCCATCTTACTCTGTTGACAAAGAAGCTTGCAGTCAACAGAAGCTTATACCAAATAAAACATAGCTATTTTTCTAAAATGGTGGAGTTGATAGCTTAGGACTCTGGAGGCTTAGATTCGAATCCCACCTCAGCCATGGAAACTCACTGGGGGTGTGGAACTGGGAAAACCACTCCTTAAATATCCCTTGAAAGCCCTATTAGGGGCACTATAAGTCAGTTCTAGCCGCACATAACAATAATCTTCAAAAAAGCCACAAGACGTTTTGACAAATTAGACAAAGATTCTGTTGTTGCTATCACTGACTATTTCACCCAGCCTGGTGACTTCCAGATGTGTTGGACGTCAACTCCCATCATGCAAATCACATTTACGGTACAGCACATGGAGTAGAGACAGTCCTCCCTTGAAATTACTCCCATCTCCTAGTAACGTAATAGAGAGCTATTGCTATCCCAAAGTAATAACAAACGGTGGTTCTCCGTTTGCCTGCTGACCTTTGAGGGACCAACCAAGCTCTCCTCAGCCCATCTTCGGCAAGCGGCCTCCAGACGTATCTGGTGTCCTTCTCCCCCCACCCCCCACAAGTCCCGGCTGTGCTGACACAGGCCTATTCCGAAATTAAATGGCAAAAGTTCACCGCAAATGTCAGGTTGGTCTAAATTTAAAGAGGAAGGGAGGCCTCCGTCTCCTGTTGGTGCACTCGCCACCGCAAACATGCGCGATAACGCTTTGGTGGTTGAAGAGGGCTCAACGCGAACGCTGAACACTGGGGTCAACCCGACGGAGTTAACCTGATATCTGGAGACGTTATGACCCAGGCCAGTTTGAACGTCCAATCTGACCCTTAAAAGGTGGAATAGGATGTCAAAGAGGAAATAGAAGCCTTCTAGGTGAGCAATGAAAAAACACACACGCAATAATTGGCAAAGAGGGCAATGGATCTGATTCATAGGAAGGTGCCTTAGCCCGAATCAGACTATCTCTCTGTACAACCCTGTACTGCTTGCTCTGACCGGCAGCAGCTGTTGAGGGTCTCAACAGCTCCTCCCTTCTTCCCTGCGGAAAACGGAGGTTGCACCTGCCAACTCTCCTCCATCTGAACGGGATTTAACTTTGTGCCGGATCCTGACCGCTGGAGAGCTGCAGGATTTTGCCCACATTGCCCAGGCATAGGAAAGCATGTTCTTCTTTTAATGTTTTAAACTGCTTTTCATATCAGTAGGAAGCCCCCCTCCCTTGCCTTTGCATCTCCAAAACACATGACTTTTTGGTGTTTGGAGGGGGGGAGAGGATTTTCTCTTCCCCCCCTACCCGCCAAACTGGGCCTTGGGGCAGGCGGGCATCGGTCGCTGCCCCAGTGCCCAGTGCCACCTCCCACCATGTGGTGTGATATCTCAAGCAGCTATTAATACCCACCGGCTGCAGCAGCACTGATCCTTCTGGCTCCCTCTCGCCTTCGGCCAGGCAGAAGGGGCGGAAGCCTGGCTGGCGGCCGGCTGCCCTCCCCAAATCTGGCCCCCGAAGAGACAGCCCGCCTGCCCGCCGGGCTCATGCAGGAGCAGGAAAATGGGTGTGTGTGTGTGAAGGAAGCAAAGCACAAAAATCCCCTTGGTGGGAGAGGAGGCCAGCCCACGGACACTCCATGGCCGTCTTTGCGCACTGACCGGCCAGGCGAGGGAAAGGGGGCTTCGGGGTTTTGGGGGTGCCCTGCGCAGCTGGGGCGCGCAACAGCCCTCCTACCCCCGTCAAGCGGGGGGCGCCCCCCATCTGACCCGCACCCCCGCCTTTGATCCCCCTCTCCTCCCCCCCAAAACCCAAGATTTCGAAGACCCAATGGGGGGGGGAAAGGGAGCCCATTACGCGCGCACGACTCCGGGTCCTTGGGGAGGCCCGCGTTCCCAC